TGTGTGGGAGGTTTCTGTGTGTGTGTGTGTGTGTGTGTGTGTGTGTGTGTGTGTGTGTGTCACGCCATCCTCTCACACAGACCAGAAACAATGCAGAGCAGCAGGTTTTCTCACCTTTGTTCTGACACAAAGACAGAAATAGTTCTTTATCCAGCGTCTCATCATCACGGCTCCCCCTGCAGGCGGTGACGCTGGAACACACCCTGAGGACGGAGCTGCGGGGCCTCAGGGACGAGATGGACGAGTCGTCCTTCAGCCGCAACATCAGCTTCTCCCAGATGGAGAACATTCAGGCGGAGGTGACCACACACACACACACACACACACACACACACACACACACACTCTGAGCAGCCACGCCCTGAACACTGAAGGATTCTGGGTCACCGTCGTCAGATTACAGCCTCACCTGTGACAGGAAGTGTCGGCTCCTGAATCCTGTGGAAAGGAGAGAGTTCTGGAATGTTATCAGGTCACAGGTGTGACATCAACACGCCCAAAGGCATGCTGGGATATCATGTTTTAGTGGACAATAAATCCAAATGTTTCCAAAAACAGCTGATAAATTGAAGAATTCACAGTAAATACCAGACGTTGAGTCAAGAACTACGTCACTGCTGAGCGGACACGTAGTGGTACACGCCCCGCTAGTTGGACTCATTCGTGGTTCATTAACAGAACTGTGTCTTCCTCGTGAACAGAACCGAGTTCTTGTGGAGCGGCTCTCCTTCATGGAGGCGCAGCTGAAGGCGTCGCAGGACGACACGGAGCGAGTCCGTCTGGACAGAGAGGCCCAGAGGGAGAGAGTGTGTGAGCTGCAGCTGAGGCTGAAGGAGAGGGAGGCCGAGGTGAGGGTCCTCAGACACACCAACACCTGGTTCACGCCTGTGTGTGTTCATGTGTGTGTGTTCATGTGTGTGTGTGTAGATAGAGCAGGAGCAGGGAGTGGTGTTTGAGCTGCGGACCTTGAATCGCTCTCTGCAGCAAAAAGCTCTGAGTTACGGAGAAGAGAGCGTCCTGGACTGCACTCAGTCACAACCTTTGTCTCTGCTCAGTGAAATACAGCAGTCACAGGTACACACACACACACACACACACACACACACACACACACTCTAACCCCCTCTGTACTAATTCTGCTCAGTCTGATGGTTTTCAGTTGAACTGCACTGAAAGAAACAGGAACAGAAAAAGAATTTTATATTAATCCATGTTGTTGTTGTTGTTGATGTTGTTGCTGTTGTTGTTGTTGATGTTGTTGCTGTTGTTGTTGTTGTTGTTGTTGTTGTTGATGTTGTTGTTGTTGTTGTTGATGTTGTTGTTGTTGTTGTTGATGTTGTTGATGTTGTTGTTGTTGTTGTTTTCAGGCTAAAGACGCTCTCCTGGCTCACTCTGCTGCGCTGCAGGCGAGAGACGAGGAGATCCACACACTGAAGGAGGAGGTGGGTCAAACCGTCGACGACTGATCGACGACTGATCGACGACTGATCGACTCCTGAGCTCAGAGCTGAAGTCTAAAACTCAGATGAACTGTAGTGAAGTCGAACCCGCTCAGAGCTGAAGTCTAAAAGTCAGATGAACTGTAGTGAAGTCGAACCCTAATCTGTCTGTGTCTGTGTGTGTGTGTGTGTGTGTGTTCCACGTCACAGCTGCAGCGTCAGCGTGAGGAGCTGGAGAAACTAAAGGCAGAACTGAAGGACTTTTCAGGAGGTCCTGAAAAACCAAACTACAGGTAAAACGTCAGAGACTTTTCATCCGTTTGGTTCCGCCGTGGTTTCCTGACCAGCGTTTCTGTCCAGTTGTTTAGAGAGTGAACTGGCCACCGTACGGCAGGAGAAAGACTCACTCACTCAGCAGCTGCTCAACACCATTAAACACAAGGTGGCGCTGTCTCAGGAGCTGGAGGCCTGGCAGGTAGGAGCGAACGGAGCAGCAGGAAGTCAGACGTTTCCTCCTGGGACCTTGTTGGTTGTGAAGCTGAAACTGGTTTTTGTTCTCCAGGAGGACATGAGGCTGGTCATCAACCAGCAGGTGCAGCAGAGGGAGGAGGAGCGCGGGAGGGAGAAAAACCAGGAGGCGCAGACGTCCGTCACTCTGCAGAGGAGCAAGTCTCTGAAAGTCAAAGGAGAAGGAGCCAAAAAGTTCTTCTCTTTTTTCCAGAAACAAATGACATGAGTGTCTCTGGTCACATGGTCACATGGTCACATGTTTATACGTCTGGACTCCTCTGTATATTTGAACCTGTATATGTGTGTGTGTGTGTTACGTCCGTGTCGAGCTGTTTTAGTTCCTGTGGACTTGTATATGAAGACTCTGTGAGTCACTGTGGAGTCAAGACGTTAATCTACAGCTCTGCTTTGATGTGGGGGGGGGGTGAGGGGGGGTTAATTGGTTTTTAGACAGTGGACGAGTCGTGTTGTTGGACAGATGAGTCTCTGGGCTTCACTGTAACATTCATGAAGAAGAACTGGAAGATAACAGAAATAACCTCTTTATTAAATGAACCCTTTAAGGTCCTCCTCCCCCAGGTTGATTACTACAGTGTGTGAAATTAATCTATTAATTAATTAATAACTAAATAAATAACAGATAGAGATTAGAACATGTGGAGCTTTGGTGTGGTCCACAGTCCACAGTCCACAGTCCACAGTCCACAGTCCAGCAGCAGAGACAGAACAGGTTCTACTGCTCTGAGAGAAATACACATACAAGTACTTCATACCTTCACGTACTCTGGGGGGGGGAAGTGGGGGGGCTGCAGTCAAACAACAGGTCAGTTAATAAAGTGGTCAATAATGGGTTAAAAACTCTGTACACAGTTACTGCAGGATCAAAGTACACAGTACTGTGAGGTTCTGGTTCCGGTCCAGACCAGGGGCTCAGATCCAGTCTGATAATCCATCTTCATCATCATCATCTTCATCATCATCATCTTCATCATCATCATCATCTTCTTCATCATCATCTTCATCTTAATCTTCATCATCATCTTCATCATCATCTTCATCATCATCGTCATCCTCAGAGGTAGGTACTGGTCCATAAAACAACCTCCAGATCCAGGTGTGGTCCAGACCAGTGGGACCTGACCTGGAGGTCTAGCCCACGTGGACCCCCAGTCCCACCTGCAGTTTGTCTCCTCTGTGGTTCACGAACGCTCCCATGACCAGGGTGGCAGGAAGTGGAGTCAGACGCTTCTCCAGCACCCCCCCGATGATACACCGGCTGTTGATCATACCTGCACACACACACACACACACACACACACAGCAGGGTCATCATTTCCTGTATTTATTTATTATTAAAGGGTGGG